TCAAACCATATCTGGCACATGAATACAATCATTAGACCCTCCCCATGGTCTTCTCCTTTATGCATATGAACAGTTTTTATGTTACCATCAGACCCTTAAACACAAACAAGGCTTTTCTCTTCCTAAAGGTATGTTGAATTGTACAACTCTGCACAAAGACAGAAAGAAAAACAGAGTTTGCCTGCACCGAAAAACAGTCCCAGCTCTCCAATGCAAACACAATCTGACACATGCTAAAAATTGCCTGAAGCACTGGTGAGTTATAGTTCTTCTCCCTGGGGCAGATAATTCATTAGGAAATAGCCTCATGCCCTATGTAACAATTGAACAAAAATATTTATGTTCGGTAATATCAGATGATAAGGGTAGCAGGGTTTCTTTTGGAGAGAGGGGGAGGGGAGGCCTGCTGTGGATGCCCATCATAAGCATTGCAAATGAATCATTAGCCTTCATCCTGCAATCTAGGTCAGGATGGGAGCTGAAGGGAGGGCTTTTAAATCTGCTATGTGGCTCAAGTTGAATCTGCTTATGTGGAGGCCCGGCAGGCAGTTCGACTGACCCGAGCATCCTAAGGAGAATGGAGAGATGCTTTCACCTGATATGGGACCACCATGCCTGACCCTCAAGAGGTTGTCCTTTCAGGTGAACCATTTAAACACATGACTTTCTCTAAGCCTTCCCTGTTCTCATTTTCAGGCCTCGGTGTCTACTAGCTAGAAATCTTCCACACCCAGGAACATGTGGATTCTTTTTTAAAATAATGATAATAGGGGCTGAGGTTTGGCTCAGTGGTAGAGCGCTCACCTGGCACACGCAAGGCCCTGGGTTCAATCCTCAGTACCACATAAAAAAATGAATAAATAAAGTAAACAGCAGATTGAATAAATGTATAAAATAATAATAATAATAGAATCATATACTCTTGGTGTGGGAAGGACTTGAGAAAGAAGATATGAAATAAGAAGGAAAGTGCCTTCCTTGTTCAAAGTCAAACAAGTGTCCTATGCCCTGCCACAGTTTTTCTTTTGGCTTTTTTTTTTTTTAAGATTCTTTTTTGGTACAATATAAATAATTTATTAAATAACGAAGTTACAAAACAAATTGCTGTGGCAACTGCCTCCTGGTAAACCGTCTGAGAATCTTGCCACATGCCTCTCAGCCTTGCCCCCAAAATGACTGTGAAAAGGACACAGTATTTCCCATAGCTCTGACTTAGGCTGCGCTTCTTCCTCAAAATCTCCTGGGCTCCTTTTAATGTGATTATTCTATGAACATATCGTGGCTCTTAATTCACTTGGTCAAGGGCTCTGACACTTTCATGTGGCTGTCTTCCAACCATCCCCACCCCAGGACACAGGAGGCTCACGGGGTGCTTGCCTTAATAGGTTCTGAAATATTCTAAACTAGAAAAATTAGAAAAATTTGGATTTCAAGATTCATCCTAAGCTAAAAACTAAATGAACTTGATCAGGTAGGCTTTTTTTTTTCAGTACATATTTTATTTTATCTTTAACTGACATGTAATAATTGTACCTATTTATGGGGCAAAGTATAATAATTTGATGCACATATACAATATGTAATGATCAAATCAGAGAGAATAGCATTTTCATGTCCTCAAAATTTATCATTCCTATGTGTTGGGAAACTTAGGACTCTTCTAGATATTTTGGAAAATATTATTAATTTCTGTAGACTGTAGTTAAACCCTAGGCTATTTCTTATGCTTGCCAAAATCATAAGAAAACTTTTAAAGCTCAAATATGATATAAGAAAAAAACATATAGCAAGAAGTGAAAAGACTCAGATTTTGTTCTTATCTGCCTCTGAATTTGCTCTAAGCCGTCCTCATGACATCTAGAAGCAATTTTTCTATCACTCCAGGCCTTGCTTTCCTCTTTTTTTATAAGTAAAAGAGAGGATCACATGGTCCCTGGGTTCCATCATTAGCTATGTCATCCAGATAACACCTCTGAAATTGTTTTGTTCATTTTTTGGAACAGCACGGCAACTGCGGAACTATCTACAGTTATTTCCAAAGACCTGATCTGACATTCAGGGAACACAGGAACACTTCCGCATCTGCTGCATATATATCAAGCTTTCAAATGAGATAGTTTCACTATTGAAATAATTTTCCAAAACAGTCAGTGTTCCCTGACTTTGAAAGGAGAGCTAGCTTGGAGATCTAACTAGTATTTCCCCTCATTTCACTGCCTACATTGATTTGTGAGGGCCGTCTCTCCCCAACCCCATCTCAAAAACATTGTAAAGGCCTGAAGAGGACAAGGACTATGTGTATACACAGATACATTAGTAAGAACGACCCAGTTCTTATCTGCTCCAGTATTTCAGTAGGAACCAAGTTTTGCATTCTGCAACTGGAAGGTGATAGAATTTTCTATTTCAGGACACCTTTAAAAAAAAAAACAAGGAGCCCATTTAAAAGTGCTGCAGAATGTTATTTTGATTTCAGCCTCAGGATGAACCACTCCTCCTGAATGCAAACACAGGAAAGACTGCGTTAGAGGAGCCACCATCATATTAAAAATTAAATCCAGCAGCATTTTGTAATGGGCTCTCCTTTTTAAGCCCGGCTTCATCTTCTCACCATGGAAATTGCAGTCTGATGGCTGTTTTTTATAGTTAACACTAAGGCATCCATCGGCTGAGGTCAGAACCCTGCTTCTCTGAACAGGGGACCACAAATGTCACCAACACATGGTACGCTTGGCAAATAATATATTTCTCTCCAATCCCCTTTCTCTTCAGTTTGCCTAATGTCATACATGTGGTAAACTGGAGAGTTTATTTCTCAGGTCTTCCTTCCTTCCTTTGGTGGGACCAGCAGGAGGCATGCAATTGACAATGAATTCAAAAGTGCACTTCTTTTGATTGTTGTCTTTATTTTAACCTCCAAGAAGAGAGAGATTTAACTCAGCCTTCACCCCAGGCTAAGCTAATACTTAGGTCATGTCTGAGCTCTCTGGGGAACCCCGGCTTTATCCCATCCGAGGGGCAGTGGTGTCTTTTCAGCGAGCAGTACAGCTGTCCAGCCATATGGGCCCCAAACAGCCCAGTCAATCGGATTTGGGGAGGTTTTACAATGTAATTTCTTAACGTGTTAGTATTTGGGGTGAGAATGATCAGGAGCATAGACAGCTCTTAAGCCCAAGGGTTTAGGTTTTAAGAAGCCATCACAAATGTCCCAGCATACGATCAGACTGGTGAAAAACAGATATAAAATCTGTGGCTGGGGGAGGGGCTAGGACCCCTGACCCCCTGGTTGGAGAAAGCCCCAGGGGTATGCTCTAACTATTAATTCAGCATCAGCTGTTCCCCCCACCACCACCTTTTCAGTTTTAACCCAGGGCTCATCATTTAAGGCGTTCCCACTCAGGCCTGTGAGCCTGTTACAAAACCATCCCTCTGCTCCCCTCCCCCCCGCCGCAAGATGAGAGAGCAAATATCCTGCAATGCAGCAACGCGCAGGAGGGACTGCATGGAAACCATCCTCAAGCTAAACAAAACCAGGCCTTTAAGAAAACCCAGCAAAGGGCAGCAGCCCTTTAGGTCCCACTGTCCTTCAGTCCAGACCAACTGGAACTCAGCCCCATCCCTCCCTCGACGTAGCAGGGGTTCAGAAGCTAGCTGCGGAAGGAATGCTTGGTAAACAAAAACAAATAATCCTAAAACCCTTATCAAAATGGTGGAAGTCCTGAGCCAAGCTACCACCAGTAGAGTTTTTCCACCTGAAAAGTGTTTTAGTTGGAGGAGAACGTTCTAAGAATGAAAATCTTCCCCAGGAACATAGCCCAGATATGGCTTTTTTCAACTAGCTACCAACGTCTTAAATTAAAACTCCACTGCAAAGATGTTTCATACCCCCCTCCCCTCCCCTCTTCTTCCCCCCCCCCCACTCCAGCTTCCACTTCTTTGAAATTAACAAAAACTGTTTATTTTCTAAGCTTCTAGTGGTGCATTGTTGAAGCAAAAAGCCAGAGCTGAGAGATTTTGGCTTCTATTCTTCTTCTCTTGGGACAAACACCCAATAATTGACAAGAGCCGAAATGGCCTTGAAAGAACAAGGGCAACCCCGGGGGTCACCATTCATTCGGCCCTTTCCTGAGAGGCACCTCTACTGAATCCCCGCAGGACCACGCATGGCGTGTGATTTGAGGCCTGTGAGAGTTGAGACCAATGCTTTTAGCTGACAGGGCTGGTTCTCCCGTCTCTCGCTGTCCTGAATCCTGAGCTGCCCAAGAAACACTTAAGATTATTTTTAAGTCTTCAAAGAAGAAAAGCCGGAGTGGGGAGAGCGAATAGTGAGCCTAAATGGGCCTAAGCCGCCTGGGTTGGGGCCGACTCCGCTGGCACCCAGACCTTCTCAAAGACCTAGGAGCTGTCATCGCAGGCGCCCGGGGTTTGTTTTCTGCTTTTTTTGGTGTTTTTTGTTTTGTTTTGTTTTTAGAGGGGGGTGTTTATTTAGAGGGGGGGGACTTTAGGTTTTGCTCTTTGGGGCAGATTCATTCCGAGTCCTTCTTTAAGACCAAGCTAACCCCATGCTGGGGTGGGGGGACCAACACCCGCACAACTGTCACAACAAAAGGCGCTACCCAAAGTGTGTCCACACGTCCGCGAAACCAGTGGCCCGACATAGAGATGCACTTTTGTGCCTCTCTAATCTCGGACGTCCATCTGGCCCTAGCGGGCGCGGGCTGCAAAAACGCGACAGGAGGGGCGGGGCGCGTGCACGAATTCCGAGGCACGGGCACGCGCGCCCGCTCTCCTTCACGTTCACCTTGACTGCAGGGGGGGCGGAGGGATGGGACTGTGGTCCTCCCCCCTCCCGCCCCACTCTTCTCCCCACCCCCAGCTGCTGTCCTGCCTAGACGCCGGCCCGGAGCGGGGTTAGGGGGAGGCTGCACCCGCGCTCGGGTCGCCGCAGCGGCCCGGCAGCCGCGCGCTCTCGGCAGTGATGTCAACCGCATCCGCCGCAGCCCCCCCCCCCCAACCGCCCGCACCCTCCTCGCCCGCACCGCGGCCGGCCGGAACCCCAGCCTCGCGCCTAAGGCCCGGGGAGAGGAGCAGAGGGTGTGCGGATGCCCTGGGTCCCCCCTTCCATCTGCCGAGGCGTGAGAGATCCGGAGTGGACCCACCGCAGCAACTAGGGAAGGGGAAGGGGACTGGGAGAGGGGAGGACGCGATGGAGGTAGGTGTAGGTTTGACGTCCCGGGCCGCCGAGAGGACTCTGCCTCGGACTGGGGCCACCAGGGTGGCGTCAAGGAGCGGAGGGCACCGACCACTGCAGATGCGGCGCGTGTGCGCGCGGCGAAAGCGCCCCCTTCTCCCGGGATCCAAACGGATAAACGGAAGTGTGGGTGAGTGTGGGGGTGCGAATCGCCACCTCGGCCTTGGCTTTCCCGCTCTTCCGAGCGCTCCCACTTCTCACTTTCCCCAAATCCGCATTTTCCTTGGCACTGCTCTTCGGAGCACCGAGGAGAGGGAGGTGCCCGGGAGCAGTGAGAATGACGTGTGCTGGTGCAGAGGGGGTGGGGGGCTGCGGGCCGGGCTCTGTGGACCGGCTCCTAATCCTCTTGTTTTCGGAACTGTCAGCAGATGTGGCTTCTCTTAGCTGAATAATCCTTTAAAGGAATAATAATTTTTAAAAAGGACATCGACCTCACCCAAGGAAGACTGTGAACGAGATCAGGGCTTGGTAAGGATAAATTAAAAGGCTCCAAATTCTGTCCCCCTCAGCCTTCCTCTTCACCCCTCCCCCTCCCTCCTCCTCTCTATCCTCCCCTCCCCCTTCTCCCCCATCCGCTGCAATCCGCACTCGACGCGAGTTCACGCGCAGGGCTGGATTTCCAGGCTACAGCGCAACTTCGCTGCGCGTTATTATTATTCATCTGAGGGTGCTGCCTCCACAACCTTTGCCTCCCGCGCCCGCATCCTTCCCCCCGGCCGCCGCCGCCGGCAGTGCAGTCCCTCCTGCACGCATGCTCTGGTTCACCAAAGGAGATTCTGATTTTTTTTTTTTATCATACTCACAATCATTACCATGATGCCCCTTATCATGGTTATCATTTCCTTCTGCCAGGTGGAGCGACCACCAGCGCCTACTCGCCGCCCGCCCCTTTCCTAGCGAAAGAAGCAATTCGGGCTCGGCCCGGCGGCCGCTCCCTAAAAATTCTGGCTTACTTTGCTTTCTGCATCCCTCCCTCGTTTATCTGCATGTATATTATCTTGATCCCTTTTATTCCAGTAGATCTACTGCCTTTGGATGCGCTGGCTGAAACGCTGCGGACTGCAACCAGGCTCTTAAAAAGGAGAACAAAAAGATGAAGACCTTGGGCGGACGCCGGGACAAAGCACCTTGCGCTCCGGAGAAGGGACGCGCTCTGGAACACTAGTTATCTCCTCGGCCGGAGGGCGCCTGCCGGGCGTGCGGACCTCTGAGGGTAGTCGGATTGCATTTTATTGATACTTTTGGGATGTTTTTTTGAGTGTCAGTGTTAGGGAGGGGTTGGGTTCCCGGCCTCCGGAGGGATAGCTGAATCGAAGGAGATCCAGGGGAATTTAACTCGACTTTTCTGTTGCCTTCCTCGCCTTCTCAAAATGCGGGAAGGGGAGTGGGGACAGGAAGACTTAGAAAAAGAGAAGCCGCCGAAGGCTGCGGGAGGGGTAATGGAATAGTGGGGCGAGGTGGAGGTGAATGGGCTGGGTGCGGTCCCAAGAGGTCTCCCACTCTAGTCCACAAAACGAATTTTGGGGGAAATGAGAGCCTGGGTGTCTAGAAAGGAGCTTGGAGAAATTGACATGCCCTTGTCCATGCATAAGGTGGCGACTTGGATTTGTGTGTAAACAGTGGAGGGCTGGTAGAGGACAAGGAGGGAGAAGGTTTAAAATGATGTCTTATTGTCCCTTTGGCTTTAGAGACTCTCATCCTCTGTCTCTCCCTTTTTTTGACCCAAGGATCCTGCCACATTATATACGAGTGACCTTTTAAATCTACGCCCACCCTTTACCCGGTAAAGCCCATTGACAGAGATGGGGTGGGAAGAGTGTAGGGGTGTTCTCGTTCTCCGTCTCCCTTCCCCCTCCTCCCTCTCCCTCCTCCCTTGTCTCCCCCTCCCCCCCACTCTCTTCCTCCCTCCCACCTCCCTCGCTCCCTCCCTCCCTGCTGCATTTTGCATGAGCTATCTAGGTCATTAGCATTTTAGCGTATGCAAGACTTGACAAAGCTGATGAGGGGCCAGATGGGCCTCGCTCTTATGGTTTTTTTTTTTTTTTTTTTTTTCCTTTTTTCCTTTTTCCCCTCCACCACTTGGGACCTGAGCGAGAGGACTGCAGCAGGCGAGTTCCGGAAGGCTGATTCCCCAGATCCCGACCCCGGACCGTGGCAGTTCGCCCCTCTGGCACGCCCGGCCAAACTGTGCCTGGACTCAGCGATCAAGGTAAAGGCGGTGGCCCCGCGCCCTGCCTGGCAGCCGCTGCTGGGCCCCTGCTACTCTCTTCTTTCCTTGCCCTCACCTTCCGCTTTCTCCCCCCCCCCCCCACCACCTTAGTTTCCTGGGCAAAGCTGAGGACGAAGTGGGTGGGTAGGGTTCGCTACTCTGGGGCGAGGTGGGGTTGATGTTGTGTTTTCATTGTCTGGAGCTGCAGGGAAAGCGAGGCGCACAGAAGAGGGCGAGGAGAATCGAGGCGCAAGGAGATGGGCGAGGGGAGTCGGGGTAATTAACACGGGGGAGGCACCCCTCCGTCTCCCACTTCCACCCACACCCCCAACCCTCCACCCCCTCCGCTTTGCAGGAAAAAGCCTGGAAACGAAAGGATGCGGGAGAACAAAGAGCCTTCGGAAGACGTCGCTGTTATCTCATTGTCTGTGTGATTGGGGGAGCTGCGGTAGGGAGGATGCTGTGGTCCTGTCCTCCCGGCGCTCCCCCACCCCCACCCCTCTCCCTGCTGTCAGTGCGCACGCACACGCGCCGCTTTTTATTTCTCTTTCCTGGTTTTCTCATTCCATCTTCTCCCCATCCCCTTCCTTTCTTTCACCTTTCCTTCCTTCCTCAGGAGAAAGGCCTCTCTCTCCGTGTTCACAGCGGACCTTGATTTAAATGTCCATACAATTAAGGCACGCGGTGAATGCCAAGAATGGGGCTGGCTGAGCACCATGGGTCCGCAAGGGCCCGCCGAGGAAGAAGGCACCAAGCCGAGGAGTCCGCGGCAGACCTCAGAGCTGCGGCTGCGGCTACGGGCGCGGCACGGCTGGAGGGGTTGCTGGGTCCTGCGGCAGGCTGTCCCGCACTGGAGCCCTTGGGGTGGGGAGGTGTGTAGCTTGTGACAGGGGCTTAGAGGTGCAAACAGACTAAGGGAGGGAAACCGAAGTGATTCTGTGACAGAAACAGATTTGTGCAAACGCAGATATGGCTGGGGGGTGGGAGGAGAGTCGCCTTAAGCGCGTGGCCAAGTCCTTCTGTGCATATTTTTATCCCGGCTCGGATGCATTGTATGTGGATCGACATCTTCCTCTGTGGCTGTGGTTTTGTTCTGGGCATATATATATATATATATATATATATATATATATATATATATATATATATATATATATGAACCCCACCTGTACACATGCTAATTTTATATATATCTGGCATCCAGGAGACTGGCAGACTGCCTCAGGGACTGGACTATGGATATATTGTTCTTCTTGAGGGTTTGGGTGGGGGGAGGATGACCATTTGGAAGGAGGGGGAAGCTGTAGAGCTGTGAGCACCCGACAGGCTTAAGGAAGTCATTGGGCTATGCAGACAAGAAGGAATAAGCTCTTGGCCAGTTCCGGAGCTGCATCAGGATTGAGAGCCTGGCCAGGGCTCCAAGGAGCATCTTATGCCCTCCCTGCGCTGTTATTGCAGTTTCAGGGTTGATCCAAGAACTGCAGAGGAGAGACATACGTACAGCAGGGAGGCATTCCTTTTAAAACCTGAACAGGAGGAAAAATTAGCATGTGTACAGGTGGGGTTCTAAGGAGTGTTTTGAAAGATGCTATCCAAGAACAGAAAAGGGTTAAGCCTCCATCATCCTGAAGAACCTGCTGCCTGAATCAGGCCTTGGTCCCCATCACAGCCCTCGAGCCTCAGCTGGTCCTAGAGACCCCTATCATAGTCCCATCCCATCTCCAGCTCAGCATTAACAGCCAAGCCACTGCGGATGGTGGTAGAACCAAAACTCATTAATTTCCAGGTGGAGAAACTGGAGGAGGGGCAGTTGAGGGAAGAGCAGGGAAAGGAGGTTAAGAGGTGGACCTTCCTACCCAGAAAGCCTGCTGCCTCCCCTCACCCATATGGCAGAGGCCTGCTTTTGCAAGGCCAAGCCCATAAGGGATGCTCAGGAGTTTGATTTGATTCCTGATGCAGTAATCAAGGCCTAAAGAGTGTCAGTTCAAGCTAACTGAGGACTTCTTCTCTCCAAAGCCTCCTCAGTCTAGCCCAGTAAATAAACTAGTATTGAAGGATACCATGGATGGGCACAGCTCCCTGCCTCATTTCCTCCCTAGTATTTGAGTACCTACTATGTACCTATCACTGCAGTTATTCATCTTAGGTTCTTCATTTGCCCTCCTAAGGGAGTGTTCCGGAGTCAGACAGGCCAAGATCAAGTGCACTGCACCCCACCTAGGCATTAACAGAACCACTTCTGGCTCTACAGAAATGGGTCACAAGCTCCTCTGCCCTGCAGAGGGCAAGCTGCAGTGCACACCCTGCAGACTGCAGTTGCTGTGCTGCCGCCAAGACCCAGGAGGCAAGCTTGGCTACAGGACAGAAAGGGTTGTCAGAGGAGGCACAGTAGCCATTGCCTTCAAAATACCTTCCTGGAAGCTAGTGTCTTCCTGGCCCTGGTGTGCCTACCACCCTTTCTGAAAAGGCTGGTGAAGAGAAGAGCCAATGTGGCATACCTCATTGGAGGGACCATCCCCTCATCCTCCCCCACGCTCTCTAAGAAGACTGTTCCTGCGGTTCTTCTAAGCATGGTCTAAGCCTCTGATAACCAAACCCCTTGCCCCACAAATGTGCACATTAGTGAGCCTCTGCTCCTAACTGCTTCCCCGCAGTTCCTTCAGACATTGCTATATCCTTCTCTAATGTGTCCTCTGGTATAAGCTCCCAATGCCTCCCCAAGTAATGCTCCTTTTAGGAGGAAATCTAACACGCTTCACCCAGACAGCTTCTACCGCAAGGCCTGCAGGGTTTCTGCTGCAGAGACTCTGCCATGGGAGGGTTTTTTTTTTTTTTTTTTTTTTTAATTACGTAAACTCTTGTTCCAGAAAGCTTTAATGTGTGGGAGTGTTCTGGGTTGGCTGGTCTGTGCGCAGCGATGTATTTGCCTGTGTCCACCAGGTCTCATTATAGAATGGGTTTTTTTATGTGGGGTTTTAATGGCCTTCTCTGTCCCATGTGTAATTTCAAGTTCACTTTTGTGTTCACCAAATGAAGTATCAGGGTCAACGTGAGCCGCCTTCCTTCCTCTAAATCGAGGGCCCATTTATACCCAGCATTACTTATGCAAGGAACCTAAAGATTTCTGCTCTTTGAAGATATTTAATTCCCAGCATCTCCTCTATTTTAGCCCTTCTAAAGGCATCTTATGGCTAAAATGAAAGAGGAAACAGTTTAAAAAATGTAGACCCAGTTGACTCAGTTTGCTGAATGAATATACTGAGGAAGCCCTGGGTAACTATACCTGCCCAACACTTTCGATGGATTTAGGAATGTAACGAAGGAAAATCTGCCAATATTCTTTCCCCTGCCAGAGACAGACAGTGGGGGGGAAAAATGACCCTTAATGGAAGTAAAAGTAAACACTAAGTTACTTCTGTAACCAAGGAGGATGGGAGCTTTTGAGAATGCACAAGGGACTGTAGCCAGAGAAATTATTAGGAGAAGGGTATGTCCTCAGCAGGCATTTGTCAGTACACATGCATATATTCATTTTCACACAGTACCCCTTGCTGACATTTATAGCAAGGCAATTGACCACACCGGAAGTCTACCCATCTATACTGTCTCCACAGGGAAATTTTCTTTTTCCCACTATTAAACTTACATAATATCCGTCCTCCATTCCAACCTTAGATGCAGTCCTCTGGGGGCAGCTGCAAAGCTTCTCCCTGGGACAGATGGAGTTCCCCACCCCCTCCTCATCTACTCTGTGGGTGGTTTAGAGCCCCATGAGTCAACATGGGCTGACTGAGGAGTGCTGGTGGTGTGTGTGTGAGGTGTGGCTGCTGATTCACACTGACAAGTATGTCAATAATGAGAGTTACGTTACCTAATAAAGATTTTTCTTCTAAATTCCATCTACAATTCTTTCATTGGGTGTTTTTGCCAAGTCTTAATTTGTTAAAAAAGTATATTTCATTGCATCTCAAATGCAGACATAGAACAAGAAGGAGTTCAAATGGAATTTATTGGAGTTGAAGCTGCTTTATACTGGGTCTGCAAGTGGCCTGGAGACATTTTTGAAGCACCAAATTTAGATGAGGGTGGGAGAAATAGGCCTTAAGAAAAAGTAATGTTGGGGTCAGGAAGTGTCAGAAATTCTCAGTAGGTAGGTCCACCTTTTGTTTTCTTATCCTCTGGTCACAAAATGGAAACTCTTGTCCAGAAATATGGGCCTGCGTCATGGCTGCAGAAGTCCAAAACAACCTCCAGGATCACAAGGAGCTTTGCTCTCCAAAGTGGGGGTGTGGGGGTCATTTTCAATTCAATCTATTTGTTGCTTAAACAGACACAATACAAAAAATTGAGACCTGGGACAAGGCAACACGACCTTATTTTGCTTCTTGGTGTCACGTTTTCAAGGCGTTCTGCGCGCGAGAGCATGAGTCTCAGGGCTGCCTTCGTCCTGTGCCCAGGCGCACCTAGGCTACACAAGAGGCTTTCTCCCTCTTTTTTTTTCCGAATGAACTTGAGCCATAGACGTGTAGCAAGGCAGAGAGGAGCAGCCACTGGTTTCTCTTTTCTTTTTCGGCTCCTGTTTTCTCCGTTGTGACTTTTTTCTTTTTTCCTTTCCTGAATCAGCTGGATGTGGGACTCCTGAGATTTGGGTCATCTGCGTTCCCTAAGGTTTGGATTGTTCCGAGGTGCATGTAGATCCAAATATGTTTCAGCCCCGTTCCAGAATGGGCCCCAAGCCAAGTCCTAAGACTCCAGGGACACAGAGAAGTCAGAGTGCCCTCTGCACGGGACCACCAACAGTGGGCACAGTCCTGCAGCGCCCACATTGCCCCCTTTTCCATGCACCTGGGTTTCCCCAACTTCACTCTGGAGCAGTCACTACTGACCTTCAACTTTAGAGGTAATTAAAAGCCCGGGGCAGGCTCCCGTGGTGGTTGTGGCAGGGGAGGGGGATCAGTTTGGAAAAATGCGCCATGCCAAACCAGAGGCGTCTGAAAATTGAAATGGCCCCCTTGGCTACCTCCAGCACTTTCCAAGATGCCACACCGACCCCACCGCACAAGCCCCTCTCCCCTTGACCTCCTCCCGGCCTCGGCACCCATAAAGCCCCCAAAAGGCTCAGAATGTGCTAGAAAGAAGAGCTGGCAGGGGCGGCCTGGCAGGGGTGTGGTGAAGGGGGGGGTGGGGGGGTTTGGGAAGGACCCTACCCGGAATAGTCACTTCATGGTCACTCCCTTGGTCGCCCTCCAGCAGAGTCGTGAGAGAAAGCGCTTGGGGCTGGGCTCCTGTCCCCAGTGCATCTCCATGAAATCCTCAGACTCCTCTGTCCTCCAAACCCAGGGTAGCCAGGCCAAGGCGGGGGGGGGGGGCATCTTCCCCCAGGAACCCTCCTTCCCCACCCCCACAACACTCTGGAAAGAAGCTAAAAACAACAAAATCCTCAACCCAAGAGGAAAATGACACACTCCTCCCTCAGCCTTAGTCAGCAATAGTCCCAGATCCTGTGCTATAAGGGACAGAGCCACTTGGAAGGAGAGAAGCTGAAAGCTGACATCCTAAAACTCTTTGCAAATGAAACCATTTTCAGGATAGGGAAGGTCTTTATTTTAAGAAGAACCAAATTCCTCACTCGTTGGGCCCTCCCGGGTGCAGAGTTAGTGCTACAGCCTTCTCTGGGTTAACC